CTCATCATCTCCTCTGGCTTCCTTTGCTTTACCATCAGAGGTAGATTCTGAGATGGGCAGGCAGGGATAGAGAAGAGGAAACAAAACAAGTGATAGCAACAAAAGAACCCTTACCTCAAAATCCCCGAGAACACACAACAGGCTCCCAGGGATGCAGATTTTCCTGCAATACGTTCTCACCACCAATCTGTTTTAAAGTTTGTTTTGTCTCCGAGTTCACAGAGGAGGCCTCTGCGCCAGGCAGGGAGGAGCTGAGAATCCAGAATTCAAGGGCAAAGGCATGTGCCTCTAACCTCTCCGCAGCAGCCCTGCTCCCCGGGATCAGAGGAGGGAAACAGGCCCGCTTGGCAGCCCACTCCTGTCCTCCCAGCCCTCGGAGGGGGGCCTCGGTCTCCCCCAGTGAAAATGGTGGTTTCTCAGAACCTGGCAATTAACTGTGCACATGACCCTGTATCTAACAAAATTTAGTCATGACAACTTGCAAACTGTCATCAGTCTCAAAATAGTACCAGCCAGATTTCATTCAAGAGTCTCCGGACAGGCACACTACTCACTAGTGCCTCAAGATGGGCAGAAAAGGCCCTAGATGCTGGTGAAAGGTAAGCTCAGGATTCCAGAACCTTCTTCCCTCCTTCCTCCACACACCTGGGCTTTGCCTGCCCTTCTACTCAGTGCCACCCCCAAAATGGACCCTGTGAATCCTGCTTAACTAGGAGAGAGGTAGATCAGCTCGAGTTAACACTGACAGTCATCCAGACGTATTTAGAGCTTACTTCAGGCCAGGTGCAAGTCCAAGTGCTTTACATGTATTGTCTCATTGTATTGTAATCCCCATTGTGACCCTATAGTTTTCCCATTTTACAGGTGGGGAAACTGAGGCACAAAGAGGTGAAGTTATTTGCTCAAGAGTACCCAGCTTATTAGCACCAGAAGTAGAATTTGAACTGACAACCTACCTCCAGAGACCATGCTCTTAATACCACCTCTTTCAACTTGGAATAGCTTCAAGGATGGAGGTGAATCAGGGCACAGAGAATCCAAAAGAGAGGAAAATCCACAATTCTTGTGCATTCAGAATGCCTAACATGGGGTTTTGTGACAGTGTGTCCTTTCTAATAATGATTTGCTAAAGTTAATATCAGTTTTGTCTGCATGTTCTCAACCCACCTCAGCCAGTGAGTGGAGGGTCAGCAGCACTCAGGAGAATGGGTCATACTGAGGGTCTAAGCAACTGCAGATCACAGGGGTGGCCGCTCATCAGCCTGAGTGGATGCACACACGAGCATTCCCAGGAAGGCCAGAGAAGAGGCCCATCTTCCAAACTCATCCCCAGAGGCTGGGAATTTGAAAGGGGAAAACCCACTAAATCTGCAGGATTTAAGGATGTCAAGGGAAAGCCTTCTCATCCCCAAAACACCATACCTTCTGGGTGATCAGCCCTGCTTGACTCTGGGGAGTTGGACATTAAGAGGTTTGGTTAACCATTTCAGGGAGGGCAAGGAAAACCCTTTCCCTAACCTTGACTTCTACCCTACCATTTGGGACCTCATCACCAGGGAAAGAAGGAGTCCCAGGTGTAACCTGGCTCTAGGTCAAACTGATCTAAGAGAAAAAGCCTATGATTTTTTTCCCCACCCTCCTTCTTCCATTACACCTGTGTGTGTGTGTGTGTGTGTGTGTGAGAGAGAGAGAGAGAGAGAGCAAAAACAGGTTTGTGTGTGTGTGTGTGTGTGTGTGTGAGAGAGAGAGAGAGAGAGAGCACTAAGCTCTTACACTCCAGAGGAAAGTAAGGGGGAAAAATATTCCTCCAGGCCCTGCCCACTTAAGGATTTGGCCAGGTGTCTAAATGGAGATCACCTTCTTTCTGGGGATGGGTGTGGATGGGGTGGGAGGAAGGACCGTTGAGAGACCGAGAGAGAGGAGGTGGATGGAGGAAACAGAGAGCTGAAAGCTGGATCTGAAACCGTCTTCGTGGTCCAGCTTAGAGAATTGATGGGCTTGTGGGACAGAGAAGGTGGGCGGACGGGTCGGAGTAAAAATCTGCCTCTAAAAGGGATCCTGTCACCTCCCCCTTTGGCATGCTCCCTCACCCCTGCATTCTAGCTATGTGTAAATCTCCTCGAGCAGAGTCTAATAAGGCAACTGGTTGCGTCTCTGCAGCCAATGGAGGCCCTGGCACTGGGTCTCCCAGGTAGCTTGTCCTGATCAAAAGCCTCAGCAGCACAGCCTGGTGAGGGCAAGGGCGAGGCACGAGGCATTCATCTTGCGAGAGCCCAACCAGTGGGAGCCTGCCATGGAAGGTTGGGAGAGGGCCATGGTCAAGGAGGAGTGGACTGGTGTATGTTTTCCCTCCATCTGCCCGTACACAAAGAAGTCCCAGAGAAAGGGTGATGAGCGATGCCCAACCGGGAGGTTGGCAGGGTCCCTTTCGGTGTCCGCCTTCCCCTGGTGCTCAGCAGCTAACTAACCTGTGTGTTTATCCTGGCCTTTGCCCTACTCTCCGCCTTCCTTCCCTTTTTCTCCTCTCTCAGAGGCGTTGCAGACCAGGCCGGCTTACCCATTTTGTTTCAGGTCTCTGGCGAATGAGAAGACTCCAACTCAAGTTCCTTTCCTGAGCGCTGAGCCTTCCCCCTCCCTATCTCTCCTCTTGCCCCCACACCCAAGTAATGTTTCATTACCGCATTCTCTAGGCTAGATGCTGAACCTCCCTGGACTCTGCTCTGGCGCCTGTTTCTCTCCCTTCTCTTCCTTGACCCTGCCTCCCCTTCCCTTCTGAACTAGCTCTCCCCACAAAGATGGTACTCCCGTCAAGAGAGACTCCCCCAGTGTTTTCCAAACTCAAATTTTAAAACACATGCATATTTACAGTTCATTTGGGGTCTTCTCTCTTTACCTCCCTTCTTTAGAACTCAGTCTTCTCCATTTGCCCTGTGAATAACATCTAAGAACCTGGGAAGGAATTGGTTATTTCCTGCTCATAACATGTGACTTAAATGGGAGAGAACAGTCTCCCTCTGCCTCCAAGGCTCTAGCATATTCAGAAATGATTCTGGGAAGCCAACAAGAAAGCCATGATTTCCAGCTGACCCTCACCTGACCCACACCCTGGCCAACCTCTGCTTCTCCAGTCTGGCTGTCCAAAGTCTCCGCCGTGGCATTTCTGTTTTCTTTTGGCAGAAATGCCTGGGAACCGAGAGGCCCCTTTCCCTGTGACCTGACCTCCCACACTAAGAATAACAGCCCTAGGACAGCATGTCTTGCGATCCCTCTGGAAAGAGGGCATGGCTGGGAAGTGGGGAAGTTCAGGGAGCTGGATAGAGTCAGGAGGAAATGGAAGAACACAGACTCTTGGCTCTTGTGAGTAAAAAATTAAAAGGGAAAGTTGGCAACCTTCAAGAGAACTGGGGAAAGAGGTCTGGGAAAGTCTCAGAGGACCCTTAATGCTTTCATACCCACTCCCCAACCTCTAGAATCCCATCTCCTGGAAGACCCAACTAGTGGCTCAGAGGATAGGAAAATGCTGGTCCTACCGAACAAATGTAGCCCAGACCTGTCTGGTCTCCTTTGCAGAACATTCCCTGAAAAAGTGAAGAAGCAAATGTCCTTTTTTTTAAGAAGACAAGTACCTTTAGGACTAGGTCCTTTCCTTTCCATTCCTGGGGAATATGACTGTCCTATTCCTGGGGTTACCCGAACTGTGAGCCTGTACCTCCATGTGGCCACAGGGCAGTGCTCTCTAGACTCCCACACCTCTCAGAGAGGCAGGTGATCCAGACCCACGACACCTGTCCACTATGTGAAGGGTCCGCCCTCCCAGGAATCCTGGAATCCTCTAGGAAATCTGGGACAGCCTATCCCTTGGTTGACTAGTTGTCCAAGACCTCAAAAAAAGTCTTTCAAAAGCATCTCTTCCCTTCTCCAAATATGGCAGAACACAAGTGAAATCTAAGTGTACAGGGTGAAGTGGTGAAGTCGGGATGCTGGTCTTACCCCCTCGGTGCCATAATCTCTCTTCCATGGCGCGACTGCCTCCACTCCCTTCCTGCGAAGTCTATGTCCCCATACTCTCTACCCAGACTCCCCCTATCAATCCAGTTCTCGGGCTTTGATAATTTCATTCACTTTGGGTGGTATTTGCATGTCAACAGGGACTCTACATCAAACTAGTAGACATTAGGAAAGGAACCTAGGGGAGGTGCGTAGGAGATGCCCCCGAAAGCACTGCCTGGGGCACTACTGAACTGTAAGATTTACCTGGACTCCGTCTCCTTTCAGTTCATAAAACCTTTGCCAGGTCAGAGCTGTCCCTGGAAATGCCAGGGCATGTCCAGTGCTGGAACAGGGGTGACCCTGATTCTAACTGCAAAGAGTCCAGCATATTATAGGTATTGTTTTAATGATTCAGTCCTCTTGCTATTGCCAAGCTTTAGATGAGTCACCGCTGAGCCCCGATGACCTGGCCACCCTTCTGGACCACACTGCTGTGGTTTTCAGGGTCTTTGGAATTCCCAGATCATCCATAGGACCACAGCCCACTCACCTCAAGGGGAGTCACACACCTGTGTCCCTCCCTGCCTCCAGAAGGGTTCCTCTGATGGAGGAGACCTGGGGGCATAGGAGATGCTGAGTGGGGACTGAGAAGAAAGTCCAACCATGCCCCTGAACCACTGTGACTCTCACTGCCTGCCCCCCATGTCCACGCCTGCTCCCCCACCCCGGTGGGAAGCAGAAAGAGCCTTTGTGCAGGAGGGTGGCGAGGTGGGATGGATCTGGAGGAAGGGGGGACCATGTGACCAGGGGAGGGCGGGGCAGGAGGGTTGGACCAGCCGCCTCCCAGCCACCCGCTTCCCTCTTGGGCTCCTGGCCACAGTACGGGCGTTCACAACTCCAGCAGCAACACTGAGGTGCCTGGACGGTGATTCTGATGGTGATGTTGCTCTGTTCTTGTCTGTCTAATATTCCTTTTTAATCCCCATCCTGCCTGCCCCTCCCTTATGTAGGGTTACTTTAGTGATCCCTGGAATGTTTTTGACTTCCTCATCGTAATTGGCAGCATAATTGACGTCATTCTCAGTGAGACTAATGTGAGTATGACTCTGCCCTCCCCAGGAAGCCTCCTCCTTCCTCCTCTGCCTCCTCTCTTTCCCCTTTCTCTCACTCGCTCTCTCTTTACCTCCTTTTATTTGTTTGGTTTTTTAATTTCCTGTTTTTACCCCCCTCCAGTCATTTTTTTTATTGAACCTGCCGTCGTCTGTGGGGGAAAAAAAGTGGGAGCTTCTCCTCCTTTTTTTCTGCTTGGCCCAGCTCTGCCCCGCTGCGCTAGGCCCAGGGGCCCGGAGCTGAGCGGAGGGGCAGGCGCTGGGGGCTGCCCGGCCCCCTCCCCGGCGGCCCCGGCCCAGCGGAATCTTGGTACTAACCCAGCTTTTGTCAGGCCTCTCCGCCCCGTGAGAACCAGGTTGCCCAGGTTTGAGCCGCCAGAACTGTAGAGTGGTAAGAGAGTATTTAATTTTTTTTTTTTTCCTCTTTCTTTTCTCATTTTTTTCTCTTCTCTCCTTTCTTTCATGCTTTTTTTTTTTTCATTTTTTCCTCTTCCTTTTTGTTTTGTTTTTTTTCTTTGTTGTTGGTTTTTTTTTTTTCTCTCTCTCTCTCTTCTCTCTCTCTCTCTCTTTTCCTCGGCTTCTCTGCCCCATGCAGCACTATTTCTGTGATGCATGGAATACATTTGACGCCTTGATTGTTGTGGGTAGCATTGTTGATATAGCAATCACCGAGGTAAACGTAAGTACATGGCGTCTGTTCCTAACTGTCCGTGCCTGCTCTAACACTCATTTGTCTTTTCCCCGGCTCATTTTTTTTCTTCATTTTATTTACTCCTCCTTTTTTTTTTATTTTCATTTTGTTTATTTTATTTGTTGGTTTAAATTGGTTTAAAGGATTTTTTTTCCTTGTTGCTTTATTTTGAATTTTTCTGTTTGTTTTTGTTTTGTTTTTAACTTTTGGAACGAGTTAGGCCTCCCCTTTCCTTTTAAGTTCTGATTGCTGCATCTTTTCTCTCTCCCGTTCCACTCCGCCTGGCATGACTCACACTGTATAGGAGGATACAGCTATGGGAGCCAGAGAGTGCCAAAACGAGGGCATATTTACAACCTCTGGGCCACAGCTGGGGCAGGGACCCAACGCTCTCCTCACCCCCACCTTCACCTCCAGACTGCTGCCTTACGCTGTCCTTCCCTTCACCCCCATGGCACCTTGGAAAGGAGCTCTCTCCAGTTGCGCCCCCGAAGTTAAGGCTTGGACTTTGCCGGCATCCTGGGCCCAAGGACCAGCCCGTTCCATTCACACTGTAAGGAGGGGCTCTGTTGCCATTTTAGCATCGGCTGCCCGTGCAGGCAGCGCAGCCCCCCAGGCTCGTGTGGGAGAGAAGAGGAGAACCGGCCGTGTCGGAACTCCTGTCGGGATCCCGCGTCTCTGGAGTGGCCAAAGAGCCAGGTGGCTGGGTGGTCCACCCAGAGCTCTTCCCGGGGGCGGGGACCTTGCCTCCCTCTCGCTGTGGAAGCAGCCTCTGGATGAGCACCTCACTCCCACGTGAAGCTGCCCAGAGAACTGACTCTGGCACCTGCCCGGTTCTCTCCCACCCCCCAAGCCCCTCACTACCCTGCCCCCGGCTCCCTGGCCTCAGACGGAACCCCAGCTCCCTGGCCTCGGGCCTCCTACTATCTTCTCCCGAGCTGTCTCCTCCTATACAGTTCCTTCCAGTCCCTGCACATTGTCTTTTTGTTACCTGGCATGTTGAAACCTTCTCTCTTTATCTATAGGCAAGCCCTCTGGCGGTTAGTCTTTAACATGTGTTGTTTAATTTTTTTGTTGTTATTATTTTTCCTTAATTAAGAGACTTGGTAATGTTTGCACAAACCTTTGATGCACTGAACCATTGAATAACAGCACGGAGCTGACGCTGTAGAGTTTTGATCTAAGATGTTTGAAACTACCCTACCAACTGCCACCATCCCCTACTGCATCCTTACCCTCCCCCTGCCCGCTCCGTATTTTGCCCCCAATCAGTCCAACTGACATGTTATCCTATCTGCCTGATTCCCCTGACCAGAAGCCCGTCTGCCCCCCTTCCAGCACATGGACGTTGGACGGAGCCTGTTGCGCTTCCCTCCCTCCCCGCTCCCATTGGCCTCTCGCACCCTCCCTGCTCACCCTATAGCTACAGATTTGATGGCCCTCTGTCTCTGAGATCCCCCTGGGTTGTCTTTGTCTCATGCTGTGTGTGTGTGTGTGTGCGCGCGCGCGTGCGTTTGTGTTTTGTGTGTGTGTGTGTGTGTGTGTGTGTGTACACACTGTCCCTTGACTTCTCCCAGGAAAACATCAGATCATTAAAAAAAAAAGTCCATCTTCCTACTCAGGCTCTGCAACTCGCCCCCCCCAGAGCCCCTCCCAACCCCCCCCTCACCTCACCACTCTGAGCACACTCCGGGCTTTTCAGTCCGGGAACCCTACACTGTACAATGTCAGGTGCTATTCAGGGCCAGGAGTCACCCCCGCATTTCTAAAGGCAGGCACCTTTGTGCTTGGAGCTCAAACTGCTCTCAACTGAGGGAGCGTGCAGGGAGGGAGGCAGGGAAGAGAGGGAGGGCACAGGTCCATACGAATCTGCACCCAGGGACTGGGAGCCCAGGGGCAGGAAGATGTAGGAAGGTGACAGCAAGCTGCTCCCCTAGATGCAGTCCCGAGCTTGTGAGGGGGCCCTTTGTGGTTCTCACCGTTGGCAAGGCCTATTCCACTCAACCTGCCATTTTCTCCCAAACTATTGGTGTTTTTAAATGAAAAGCAAAGCAAAAAGAAAAAAGTCGCCAGGGTCTAAAATTTCTACCAAAAGAGTGGCTATGTGGGGGATAGAGAGGAAGTGTGCAGGGCAAGAAAGGTGCATGAAATCATCCTGCAGACCCTTATGTTTGTATAATGGTTTTCTATTTACAATTCACCTGTGCATAAATTTATCTCAGGCAACTTTTAACTGCCCTGTGAATTTGACAGGCAAGAATTATCATCCCCAATTTGCTGACCCTAAAGATGCTGATGGAGAGATTTAAATGTCTTTCGGAGCCACACAGCTGGAACCCAGGCCTCCTGGTATGGCCCGTTCACTTTGCCCTGGGCCAGAGTTCCTGTCTCTTCAGTCCAAGATGCCTTTAACAAACACATACATTTCACATAACCCCCTCAAGTGAACTCCCCCTAGCCAGGATTTGTTCAGCCCTTACGTTCTGTAATTTATATTTTCGATAACCACACAGGTTCTTTTCCCATTTTCAAAACAAAAAATTATGTATCAGACCACCTTAGAGTTCTGATACACCTCTAACTCCTCCAGCCTCCCTCCATCCCATGCTGAGATTCTCTTCATTCCTCCAGACTGAGGAATTTGTTAAAAGTCATACTGAAGGGTTGTCTGGGGATTAAATAGGGACAGTGTGTGTGCTGGACAGCAAGAGGAGGTGTCCAGAGACCCAGCGCACAATGAATGGCTTCTGAACAAAGAGAATAACCATAATATCACCCAAGTCCAGGAGGCAGTGTGGGAGAGGACGCAGTAACTTCTTCCCGGAGAAGTTAACAAAATGTCCGAAGACTTCGTTTCCTCATCTGTCAAAGGAATGTGATGATATTTCCTGCAGTGTGTTTTGAGGCTGAAATAAGAGCGTCTATTTTAAAACTCCATGTAACTGTAAAGCACTACTAAGTGGGAGAGACTGTGGCACCCAAGCAAACGACGTGTTTCCCAAAACCCCTACTGGAAGAGCTGGGAGAGCCTCGTCTCCAACCAGTTATATCTCAGTATAACTTACTGCCCACAGACCCTGTGAAGGCCCTTAATTTCCTGGATATGGTTAGACTCTGGAATATGGTCGACAGGTTCAGCCAGATGAAAGTAAGCACCGAGTATTGATCACTGTGTACAGCCCAAGCCTCGAGAGGCCCGCTCCACAAGCACAGTCCTGCGCGACCCTGCACTCAGGTAGCAGCCAGTATGGTGGATGACAAACTAAGCAGCAGTGATGCCTAGTCTCAGAGGTAGGTCCCTCCCCCACGTGGCTCTGCCTTCAGGTCACTGGCAGCTTCTGGTTCTGGACACTCCCTGGCGTGAGGAAGTTCACAGCGCCAGGATGGTTTCCCAGGGTGCTGCTCTAGGCCTTCCCAGAATGTTCTAGTCATACTGTCATCACAAGATATCTGTTCCCAGACATATGTTCTATTTGGCAGGAATCCACACTTTTAAGCCTCGGAGGAATCCATGAGGGCTTTTCACCTGTCACTCAGCATCTTTGGCTCTTTTAAAACTACAGAAATCAACTCTCGTTTCCCTCACCAAATCCCGTATTTATTCCAACTGTCCTCAAACTCTCCCTGCATTTATACTCTTGTCCCCGCAAATGCCTTCTCTTTCCTCCTCGCCTTCACTACGTAGGCCGTGGTGTCCACCCCCCTCAGGAAACGGGTTCTCCACCCATCCCCGGCCATCGCTTCTTCATTCCACTGTGTTTCTGGTCTCATTCTCTGTGTGTGTCAGGCTCTATTTCAGGCACCTAGGATACATCGGTGAGCAAAACGAAAGCCCTTTCCTTATGAGCTGGCGTTCCAGGGTAGGGAGAAGAATCAGATGACGAGCCATACATCTCGGAAGTAGGAATATACAGTGTGCTAAATGATGATCAGTGCTTTGGAAAAAATTATGCCACGTTAGGGGGATCAGAGGTGCTGGGGACAGTGAAGGCAGGCGCGGTGTCAGTAAGACGGGCTCTCCTGAGGAGGGGACATGTGCACAAAGTACAGATGTGAAGGCAGTGAGGAGTCACGGTGCAGGTCTCTGGGAGAGGAGCTTCGGGCCAGGAGCAGCTGCGGTGGCTGGCGCACACGGAGCAGAGAGGGAGAGAGGGGGGCGGGACAGGGGCCCAGGTTCTGGCTCGTATACGGAGCAAGAAGGGGAGACACTGGTGCCTTCGAGAAGAGCTGTCCCACGCGCTGACGCATTTCCACAGGACCACCTTGCTGTCTCTAGGAGTCAGGGGTGGAAGCCCAAACACCACTCAGGAGGCAAACGCGGTACCCCAGGTGGGAGGCGAGGGTAGCTGGCGACAGAGCAGGAGCATGAGAAGTGGTACAAAATGGTCAGATTCTCAATCTGGTTTGAAAATAGAACAGTATCTCCTGACAGACGGGATGTGGGTGTGGGAGGAAGAGGCATCCGGGATGGCTGGGGGGTTGGGGCCTCAGCCGTGGGAGGATGGAGTTGGTATCCACTGGGAGAGACAGCAGGTGAAGCGGGTTCGCGGGAGAAAGGCAGGAGCTCAGTGAGGACGTGTCTCTTCAACCCACCAGTAGAGATGTCCCTGAGACTGATGTTATTCAGAGCCACGGGCAGTGGTGAAGAGCACCACGGAAGGGAGAAAGACAGAGGAGAGGCGAGGACTGAGCCAGGGCCTCCAGCATGACGAGGGCAGGACCCCTGTGCTCACGGCCAGCCTGTGGCTGACCTTCTGTGCGCTCTGGGAGATGCCTGTGGACAAATGGCAGATGTAACTCGAGGCAGATCGTGAGTCCCCACCTTGTGTCCTTACGCTAAGTTCTGCTTCCCTGCCCGGGGGCACCCCGGCCGTGGCCCTTCTCCTCCCCGAGGAGTTGCCTTGTTCTCTGGCTGAGGCTCCCCTTCCTTCGTTTGCCCTCTGGTGTTCCTTTATTTCTGGGTCTGAAATGATATTTTCCAAAAAAAA